CAGTATTGCTGCCGTTTGTCTGCCAGGCTTGCTCTGGCAATGGAGACTGGAGGAGACAGCTGGGGACCTGCAGGCAGAGCCTCACCATTCCTAGCCTTTTGTACTTGGGGATCAAGCTGGAACTCATCCTGGTTTTAAGTACTGTATAATTATGAACAAATCCTTGCCAGTCACACAACTGATCCGTTACTCCAGGTATGGAGTGTTTCCCTCTCCAGTGGTGCACAGCAATTCCATCCTTGACATTTCTTAAATAGCTTGGCTGACTAAACAGCACCAAATGGCCTTTTTGTTCCCTCTGCATTCGTTCCTCAAACCTGGAGTCAGTCAACAAAGGGTAAATAATCCCCGCTGCAGATACCACCCTGCCCACCCCTCTGAACTTGTTTCCTTCTGCTGCAGATGTGGATGAGTGCCAGGTGCTCAACGGGGGCTGCCAGCACCGCTGTGTGAACACCCTGGGCTCCTTCTACTGCGAGTGCCCTCCCGGCTCCCGCCTGCACGCGGACGGCAGGACCTGCCTGGGTAAGGACACCCCTGCCCTCCTGCTGCTGCACTGCCCTTCCTACCGGTACCTGTGGCATCGCCCACGAGCACGGACATCCTTGGCTTATCCACTCCCATCCTTCCCCTGGGCAGGGCACGTGAGGGGACAGTGATGGGTGGCCTGTCCCGTCGTTCCACAGGATCCTGGTCCCCTTTCCTAATGGGTTCCTTTTCCATTGCTGGCTTCGTAGTGTTCCCTGCTCTTCAGTGTGGACCTGTACAGTTTTGACTTGTTGGCAGTTCCTTGGTTTCCCCCCAGTGACTCCCAGTGCTTTGGTGCTTCTGCTTGCACAGAGTGCACCAGGTACAGCGTTTTCAGGACTGGTACATAAACTAGGTCATTAAAAGGTTCCAGTCCATCTTTACCTCAATTATTTCCCTGCTCTTCATGGCCAGCACAAGATGTGACAGGCAGGTGACAATGGTGGCCATGGTAACCTGGAACCTCTTCCCTGAGGTGCTGGTCATGGCTCTGCTGGGCTGGTTTGTGTCCAGATGTTACAGTTCAGGTGCCAGGTCGGGTTTGCAGGTGATTCCTGGGCCAATTCCTGGAAGGTTGTTGTTTGCCTGCCCCAAACTAGAGGCTCCTCGAGCCTGGGGTGGAGCTTGGAGCCTGCCTCCCAGCATCTGCTGCTGCTGTGGCTTTTATTATACCCCTTCTCCCTCACAGCTTTATTTGACAGATTTTTCCATTTTTTTTTAAGGGATCTTTTCATAGAAGTGGAAAGAATTCCTGGGGGGGCATTATGAGCATTTGCTGGGTTTTTTTTCTCAGAATATAGTCATGTTCCAGAGTTTACTAGGAAGGACTGTGTGAGCCTGCATGTTCCAGTTGGGAATGGTGATGTGAGTGGGGAAAAAAGCCACCCAAGGAAGTGGTACCCCTGTGCCCCAAGCAGCACAAACTGCACATCTGTCCACAGCTGCCTCTGCTGTGTGATGAGGCTCTAACAAGTGCAGGGAGTTGTACCCTTGAAGTGCAAGTTCCCCCAGTGCCCTGTATTTGGCTGGAAAAATTCAGCAGCAAAAGGATGGCAAAAAAAAGGAAACAAGGCAACCATTCCCAGCCCACTGCTCCAGCACTGCTGTGCAGCTGATGGCTGCACAGCACTGCCCTCTCAGTGTGAGGGTGGATGTGCTCTGGCATCTAATCATTGTCTTTATAATACATAGTTCTCTATTTTTTTTTTCTTTTGTGGCATAGAGGGATTCTGCCCCCATTGCCTCTCAGTGTAAAACCTGAGACAAAGAGAAGGAAGGTGTGTTTGCAGCAGGGTCAGCCCCAGAAGGGGCCATGATTTCCAGAGAAAGTATAAAAGGGATCACTACAGGGAGGAATCTCTGGTTTAAAAGCAATTTCCATAATTTGCTCTCATTCTTCAGGCTTCCCTGTTTGTGTGGCTGGATGTGCAGAGTGTTCCTGCCAGGAAGGGGCAGGCAGAGCTCCCTGCTCCCTGCCCAGCACTGCCAACCTGCTTTGCATTAAACTCGTGAGCCTGTACTTGCCATAAGGCACATGGTGTTGGAATTCCTCTGCCAAAATTCAGGGCTCTCTATTCATGAAACCTGATCTCCTCCAGGAGCAACTCAGGCAGTTTCTGGGGACAGGGCTGGCAGGAGCTGTGTTAGTTCAGCCGTGCCTGTACCCCCTGAGCTGCAAAGTGCAGCAGGAAAGAGCTGCAGAGGAACCACGCTCCCTGCATTGTTCGCCAATACTCCTTGCTAAAATAGCAACAGAACAGAGCTAAAAATCTGGCTTGCTCACTTCAGGCCTGGTGGCTTTTGTTCTTTACACGTGTGACAGAAACGTGCATTGATGTGTGTATGTTTATCACACCTCCCCAGTAGCTCTGTACCAACCTACTGAGCCAGCCATGCAGGGGGGTGGCAGCAAACTGATTTTTCTTGTAAAAGCTCAGAGCAGAGCACAGACTTAGCAGTTACTCCTCTGTTTGTGGCTGCCTTCTGTGTACCCACGGACAGAAGGTTGCCTGGTGCCATGACTGCCCCATTGGGTACCTGGTCCCTGGTGTCCTGCCCCTATGGATTCTGTAGGGTGGGTTTGGGTCACTTTGTGGCAATCCCGTGTGCTCTGTGGTGTTCCCACAAGTACACACAAGTGGCTCTTCCCTTTACTGCTCAGTCTACATAAATATTTACACTGCCAAGTCAGAGGCTTTGCTCCAACTTGATCTTGGAGCTGACAGGGGCTCATTAAGCCAGCGTTCCTGACAAGAGGTAGCAGGCAGGGAGGGTGGGCAGGGTGCAGGCAGCTGCAGCAAACTTTGTGCTCCCTCCCTTCACACTCCTGTGCTCATGTTCCAGATTGTCCCTCCCTGATTGCTGAGTTCAAGGGCAGCTGTAACAGGCAGGGAGAGCAACGTGCCAGCATGGTGGAAAGCAGCATGAGCAGCCTTTGAAGTGTGGTGGGGACCCAGTGACAGGGTCTGCCTCAGAACAGAGCTGCTTTTTGGTACCTCAGAGGCTGAGCAGCTGCTGCACGGGAAGCAGGACAATAGCCTCCCTCTGTGGGTACAACTGGATAGTTGAGCTTTACCCAGTGATGGGCTGCTTTATAGTTGTTGCCTTGGTTGATAGCTATGAAGAGCTGGTTTTGTTGCCTTGGTTGATAACTATGAAGAGCTGGTTGTGGTGTCCAGCAAAGCCAGAGCTGTAGAGTGATGCTGCATGGGTCAGAGTAAAGGTGTTTGTGTGTCTGGGCATGAACCTCCATTGCAAGGGGCAGAGCTGGGACACTGCAGTGCCTGGCAGCTGCTTTCTTGGGCTGAGGGCAGCAAGAAGTGGTGGATTTTGCTCAGCCACGTGTCTTCATTCCTGTGAAGTCTGAGGTTTGATTTCAATTAAGGTGTTTGTTTGTTTGTTTGTTTTGAGGGATTAGGTGAACTGATAAAAATCTGTGTTTCTCTTCAAGTTGGGTTATCCTTTAATTCCTGCTAAAACAGGAAGGAAAAAAAAAAAAAAAAAAAAAAAAAAAAAAAAAAAAAAAAAAAGGCCACTAAATAGAAGGAACTGGCTCAGGGTAGAGGAACTGGAGACAGAGAGACTGTCCCATCCCTTTCCCTCTCCTCCAGAGCCGTGGGGAGGCTCTAGCTGGGTCCAGCTGGAGATGGGCTCCAGGCAGCTGCTGGCAGCCCTGGTGAGCAGGCCAGGGAGCATGCTGGAGATAGAAAAAGCCCATTGCCCTGAAGTTTCTAGTTAGGGTCTGTAAAACTACATTGTAATTCTTTAAATGTTTTCCAATCCCCACAAACCCACAAAGGCTCCAGCGACTCAGCAGCGCAGCCCGACACGGAGCTCCCGAATTCCCCAGGCAGCTCTCCAGGGTCAGCCTGGACACAGACCCACTCTGGCTCAGGAGACCACCAAAAATACCTGAAAGCCACCTTCCCGTTTTTTTTCTGTGTCTTGCAGCAACTTGCAGCCACTGTTGATGCTCAGGATAGCCTGCAGCTCAGTTGTGCAAGGTTTTGTTGCACCTTTGTTGCTCAAACGCAGCAGTCACTGGTGATTTTCATACAGGAGGGAGGGAGAAAAGGAGCAGGCATTTCTCTTGAAAGTGAAAGACAACAAAAAGAACCATTGGACGTCCTGAAATCACCTCTTTCTTTATCAGAACCACATGGGCAGGAGGCAGGAAGCTGACAGCTTCAGGTCCTTCGCTGCTTCAGCGGAGGGATGAGCTCCAGTCCAAGGCAAAGAGTTTAATCAGAGCCAATTGCTTTTGTTGGCCTGTGGAGGGGAGAGAGATGGTCTGTATTAACACACAACATGTTTCTGGAAATTGTCTGAGGTTAGAATAAATCAGTTTGGGATTACATGATGTATCCCTGTTTATATTAAGAGTACTTCAAATGAAGAAATCTCCAATATAGCAACGATTTGTGCAGCGAACAGAAGGGCTGTGCTGTGAGGGTTTGTGTGGGCTCAGGCTGTGTGCACGGAGGGTAACGGGCTGGGTGCATTCCTAGGGGGTTTTGATTTGTGTGTGTTGCACAGACAACTTGCATGTTTTAGAAAACGTGACCTTTCTTTGTCCCCTGGCACCCTTCTCAGCCTTTGCTTAGGTTTGATGGTTTTGTGTGATGCTGCACAGGGGAAGTCTTGCTCAGCTCCAGTTGCAGCTGCTCACAGTTGCTTTTAAGGTATTAACTTGTTGCTTCTGAAGGCAAGTTATTGGATCTGAAGGAAAGGTGATAGGGATGTGAAAGAGAAGCAGCCAGAGTGGGGGAGCCCCAATCACCCCACGTGAAGGGCTCTCACCACCTCTGCAGTGTGAGGTTCTTCTCCAGGTTCATGCAGTTATTGCCTCCTGTTGTCAGGCTGCTGTTTTCATCCCTTTTTATCCACTTCCCAGGTCTGAGAGGGTCAGAATTGAGGAGCTAGCATCTTGCAGCAGGACTGCACTCCCTGCAGACACAGGGGATGGAAGGAACCTCCCTCTTGCAGACGATGAAATATCATCTGTGGAAAATCTGTCTGAGCTTTAATTACAAAAATCTGTGCGATGTACAAGATGACACTGGATTTGGCAATGTTGCCACAGCAATGTTAGGCTAGGAAAGCATCTGGGAATGGAAATATTTTTAGAGTGGTTCTGTAAACAGTCAAAAAAGCAAAAAAAAAAAGCAGTAATTAAAGCAAGGCCAGCAGTGAGGTCTGCTGGCTGTTATCCTGCAAGAAGCCAGCTAAGGAGACCCAGAATTAGAAGGGCCTTGCTTTGATGGAAAGACACCCCAAACAATTGTAAGATGGTTCATTTGTTTGGTCTTTTTATTCCAGCTTCACAAATGGAATTAGTTTGTATCTTAACAAAACTGACCCTCACTGCATGGGAGGGTAGCTCTGTGTGACACAGTTGCTTTGCTCCCAACATGGCATGTGTGCCATCAGCACTGGGCACTGAACAGCCAGTGATGCCAGACTCTTCTGCCCCTGCACAAGTCTCTTGGCAGAGGAGGATTTCTGGTTCCCATTACCCACAGTGATCTGGAACAGCCCCATGATGGCTGAGACCACGGCACACACTGGCCCCTCCGTCAGTCTGTGCAGTGACAAGGAGGCTCAGATGGGGTTGTGATCTCCAGCACTACATCTGCTAGCAAAGGAGCTGTGCTGAGAGAAGCACAGGAGGAAAGAAAATGCTCAGCCAGATCCTGTGCTCTCTGCTTCACCCCTTACCTTCTGTTTGTGGTCTGCAGAGCAGCTGAGACCTGTATAGGCAGTCCTGGCACTTGGTCGTGCTGAACAACCTTGGCCAAGGAGGATGAGCTGAAGCAGGAACATGTGTCCTTCCCATTGGTGTCCATACCCTGCTCCAGCTGCTCATGGCAGCCCAGCATTGCCATGCATGTGGAGTTTTTGATGGTTCCTCTGCCTTTCAAGGAAAGGCTTTGCCATTGCAAAACCCCACCTTCACCCAGCACTGCGGGTACGGGGCGGGCACCGCACCCCAAAACAACCCCAGGAGGCACCATCATCTTCTTCCATGGAGAAACAAGGTGGCTGGAAAGCCTGCTGTGTCCAGCCTTGCAGGATTTCCATGTACTTGAATTTTGCATGGTAAAAAAAGACAAACAAACACGGGCTTTATTTTATCCCCCTCTGACAGGCTGTCTTGCAGAGGTATGCAAGGAGGGCAGCTATTTTTGTTGCAAATTCATATGAATAACTGTGTTCTGGGAGGTTATTTTAGATGGAAGATGTGTTAGCTTGTCATGCATTGGCCCTGTACTTTTCCCATCTGAAGGAATGTTTTGGCAGGCATCAGCATGGTTTTAATTTTTTAATTCTTTAAAAAAAACCACCAACACTCCAAGAAGAACATGCATATTATTTATAGATTTTTTTGAATATGTTATTAAACACTTTAATATATCAGAATATTTTTAAATGACCACCCATCTCTGCTAGAGCCTGAGTACTGTAACTCTGACCTGTAACTTTTCAGGAACGTTGAGTATTTTTGTTGTTTCCTTCCAAATGGATTAAAGGAAACAATGTCAGCAGAGCTAACATAAACGGATAGTTCTTGCTCCAGCCATATGTTGTGCATGGCAACACTTCCACCCTATGAAGTCACTTTTATTCCCCCAAAATGTTGTTTAGCTAATTAGAGGCATACAAAGAGAAGTTAGATTTTAGAAGTTCAAAATGGGAGAGCTCCTCCACTCTGGGGCTTGTTTTGTGCAAGGGAATTGTTAGCAGGAAAAAATATTATATATATATATATATACACACAATTTTGGCTTTTATTTTCCTCTCGTGCCAAATAATTGTTTTTCACTAATACACAAGAGAGTCTTAATGAAATTACTTTTTCTATAGAAAATACTCTTTTGAATGCTGGGACGAGGTGCTGGCAGAACAGGGCTGCCCACCCACCCATTGCAAACCTGCCCGTAGCCCTGGGCACAAGTGTTGGGCAGACCCAGCTTCCCTTGAGATTCAGAGACCCTCTTAAAAGCAGAGACTTTTACCAGCATCTGCTTTCCAGGCTCTCCTGCTTAGCAAAGCTGAAGGTTGCTGAGGGCACTGTGATTACCTGAAGTGTTAGTTTGTGGAGAGATGTTTTCCATTAGACTTTCAGCCTGCTTATTGCTCAGAGTCAGCACATTATTTTATTCTGCAGTTTGAATAATAGGTCAGAAACGTGTGAGACCTCAGCTCCTCACACTGTTCTGCTGATGGAAACCAGCTCTGGGCTCCCACCCCAGCCTGGGCTGGGTTTTAGCCCCGTGGCACCCACATGCCTTTGATGTGCAGCCTCGTGTGTTTCACACTCATTCGTGTCTCCTAAGAGGAAGATCAGACTTTAAAAGCCAATAACCCAGTTCCTTTAAGGGCCACCTCTCTCTAACTGTCTCTGGGATGCTCACCAATGAGAGGTAATTCAGGAGACAGGCAGTGCTCTGGGAGACTTTCATTGTGCTGGAGACACATAATTACCCCAGGATTTACCAGAGTCTGTGAACCCCTCTCCAGAAAGTCCTTCCCTGCTTTATTTTCTAGCTCAGATTTCTCCTGGATACAACAAGGTTCAGCCTTCCCAGACAGCTGCAACCAAGTCAAAATCAGCTGCCAAGCTCTGCCCACCTTCGAGGTGTCCCCATCTCCAGTTTAACATCCTGCTTTTGTTGCTGGTCCTGCAGAGCAGTCCCAGACCCCAAGAGGGAAGGGGAAAAAAAAGCCTATTTTAAGGCTGATGAATGATTAACAAAGCTTGTAAAGAGAAAAGAGTCCACGTGTTGGGTCATAGGATCTGTTTTCTGCCGTAGCCTAGGCAAAAACCTTCTGTTGTCTGACTGTGAAATCCTCTGGGCAGCAAAGCTCCTTGCGCAAGGCCGGGAACACCGGGAGCTGCAGCTCCCAGCCCTGCCTGGGCTTGGGATGAGCTCCCAGCCCTTGCCCAGTGCAGGGCCCTGATGTCTGTGTCCTGTCCCCTCGTGTCCCTTGCAGCTGTGAACACGTGTGCCCTGAACAACGGCGGCTGCGAGCAGGAGTGCGTGCAGGTGACCCCAGCGCGGCATCGCTGCCGCTGCCGCCAGCGCTACCAGCTGCGGGAGGACGGCAAGAGCTGCGCCCGTGAGTCCCCGGGGCTTCACCTGGTCGGTTCTCAGGGGCAGCAGGAGGAGAGGGGTTGCACAGATGTCAAGCAGATCAGGCTGGGACATTTCCAGTAAAACCTCTGCATGTTCTATGCGTGCAGCTCGTTGGGGAAGGAGAGGAAGGGCTGCAGGAGCACAGGCAGCTGCACCAGGGCACCCACACTCCTGGGAAGGGGAAGGAGCAGCAGGCTGGTGCAGAGGGATGGGATCTTCTCCCTCTGCTTGCAGACAGCTTCCTGGCTGACCTGCTCCTGGCTGTGGGAGGGAGAGAAGCTGAAGGGGACAGAAAACAAGTTGAATCTGTTCATTCATGGCTGTTGGCATCCAAGGAGGAGGAGGAGGGGAGTCTTTAGCTGTGAAGTTGCTAAGGGAGAAGGAGCAATTGGGATATTAAAATGTAGCACTTTGTAGGGTTTTGTAGCATCTGCCTAGGTCAGATACCCAGGCAAAGATACCCAGGCAAAGGTCTCCATAGGAGGACCTGAAGCCAACTTGCCTAGGACTGGCTCTGTCATCTCTGTATGGACATGCCTATGCCAGGCTGCAGCTGGGAAGGTGCTCCAGGATGGGTGCCTGCCCTGTGCAGGACCTCACAGCACGTAAACCCTCCTGCCTGGGAGCAGCAGCAAGCAGAGCAGCAGCCCAGCTTGGCTCCCTGGTGGACAATGATCTTTCACAGGCTGCAGACTTTTTGCTAGGCACGGCCACTCGATGCTGTGCTCTGCCATGAGCACAGTGCCAGTAGGAGCTAGGGGTGGTATGGAATAATGCTGCCTCTTCTGCTTGGCCCTGCAGTGAGGAACCCCTGTGCTGACAGGAACGGGGGCTGCATGCACCGCTGCCACAACCAGGGGGGCACAGCCCGTTGCCACTGCCACCCCGGCTACCGCCTGGCACCCGACAGCAAGGCCTGTGAAGGTAAGAGCCCTGCAGCAGGGCTGCCAGGGGGAAAAGTGTTTCACCAGCAGAGCTCAACCCAGGGAACTGGGAGTGTGTGGGAATCCAAGTGGAGTGATGCACAAGCCTCCCGGGGGGGTGGCAGGAAAGCCCCCAGCTGAGGTCTGTGCTCATGTGGTGTGGAGCGCTCGAGTTTCATGTCATCCAGTTTCCTAGGAAGCTTTACTATAATTCTGAGCTCTTAACTCCATTTCCTTGTTGGTCTGGACCCCAGAAAAGAATTCAGGGTGCAAGAAAAGGGTGAAAAAAATAGTAAGAGTTGTCCCTTTGAAAGAAGGTTTATAGCTCAGGCCGCTCTGCTGATGGGTTGCTCATCTCTTGCAGATGTGAACGAATGTGTGACTGGAGCAGCCCTGTGTGCTCACCAGTGTCTCAACACTCAGGGCTCCTTCAAGTGTACCTGTAACCCAGGCTATGAGCTGGGGGCAGATGGCAAGAGATGCTACCGTGAGTATTGCCTGTGGGCCCCTTCCCCTGGATCTGCTTCTGCAGGGAAGTGTTTGTGCACTGTCCTCTGGGACCTGGTGGAGCCAAGTTACAGCAGTCTTCTCTGAAGAATTTCACAAGCAGGTTTGGGGCTGTTTACTCTCCCACCAAGATAAAAAACTTTGTCTGATCTTTAAAGTTACCATGAAGCTACTTTAGCTGGTTTAGGCAATTCACTTGGAGCTATTTGGCTCCAAATAATCCAAGTCCTGCTCTTGGGGACTTTCTTGGATGAGTTCAGCCAGCCACAAATGTGTAACTGAAGAAGGAATTGAGCTAGTGAAGTGATCACATCTGCTCCCATCATGAAAATAAACACTATTATGCAAGAATGAGCCAGACTGTCCATACATCTTTGTTGAGCTAATACCCTTCAACAGGGATGGTCCAAAGCAGAGCTATCATCATTTAGCATTAGCAGACTGGCCCCCACAGGTGACAAAAAGCTTAGTTTTATTGCTGCTCTAGTCTTGGTTTTCCCAGTGATGCCCTGGTAAGAGATGCCAGCCCTGGAGGGTCCCTTTTAACCAGGACCAATGGAAACACCAGCCCTGCATGTGTTCTGATGTGGCTCCTCCAACTGTAGGGACTCATTGCTGTAACCATTGGCAATGCCTCTTCTTTGGTGCCAACTGTGGAATGAAGTAGCTTTCTTAAAAGTATTTCTCCCTGCCCTTTCTAGTACATTTCTTTTATGCCAAACTGTGGCTGATCTTGCATTAATAGAAGGAAGGACAGAGAGACTGTATTCCTGTTGTGAAATCTGGAAGATAGTCTTCAACCACAGCACAGCTTTAGGTTTTGACATGCACAGGTCCATTGGGGAACATCAACCTCCCCTTCTTTCATCTTCCTCGGGTCTGAACACACTAAAAACTCAATGTTCTTGAAGGCAGAAATTGTTTTCCTGAGATTCAGGACTGAGTCAAAACTCCATGGTACAAGTCTCTTTTAGTTTAAGAAAACTTAATTAACTAGACTGAAGTTTACATAAACTTTGCCAAGCTAAGAAGATGTATGGCTGCTATTGATGTTTGTGCCTGCCATTTTTGACATGTCAGTAACATTTCTAGCTGTAGGCATCTGGATGTTTCCATAGTTAGCTGTGTTCTGCTGCTCCCATTTCTAGCTGGCATCAGAACAGCTCTGTGCTTCTGAAAACTGAGCCAACTTTTGGTTGGCAGCACACACTGCAGCTTGTCAGGAGTGGGAGCAGTTTTCTTTGCAGTCTGGTTCATCTCAGAGATTGTCCAGAGCCTGCTCCACGAGTCTGTCCCTGAGAGGCTACCCGGGGCCTTGCTTGGGATCCATCAGTTTATTTTTGTACATCACTTCCCAGCCCAGCAATGGGAACAAAACTATTTTCATCCTCTCCCCAGCCCAGATCTCTCTGGTCCTCAGCAGGGCTGTGCACACCAGATGCACGTGCAAGGAGCTCAGCTGGCCCAAGGGAAGGCACGGGCCAGCCCGTGTGTTCAGGGCACTCTGCAGGATCTAAACTAGGGATTTTCCTGGGTTTGGAATCCTAGAAGCCTTTCCTACCTTTTCCAGGGATAGAAATGGAGATTGTGAACAGCTGCGAGGCCAACAACGGGGGCTGCTCCCACACGTGCCACCACACCAGCTCAGGCCCAGTCTGTACCTGCAACTTTGGCTATCGGCTGGAAGGGGACCAGAAGACCTGCACTGGTAAGGCAGGGGAAGGGTGCATGGCTTGGGTTTCTAAGCACAACTCAAGCAATGATAGGAGGGATTTCCTCTGTGTGTGTGCGCCACAAACAGGTTAACAAGGCTAGAAACAGATGCAAAGTAAGAGGATATGAGATATTACTCTGTTTGAAGACATCCTCAAACCTCCACTCAAGACATGCTTGGGCAGCAAATGGTGGACTTGAGAACTAGTTAGTGTTTCCCTGCTGAAACTGGTCTAAAGCAGTACTGGCAGGGATTCACATCTCAGATAACTATAAGCCTACATCCTCAAAATGTCCCATCTTGCCTGTTATCTCAGAGGAAGCAGCAGAGTAATTTGACTAAATGAGTGATGGGGCTGAGTCACCAGGTGGGGTGCAGCCCCATCTGCTTCTACAAAGGGTGTGTTACTGGAGAGGTAAGGGTGAAATGCACCCAGAGCTCTGTGAATGCTATCAAGTACAGGCATGCACCTTATATTGCATTCCTCTGGGTCCCCTGCAACAAAACCCCCAGTCAGAAGGGCACTGCAGTGCTCACGGGCAGTGTTATGGGTGGAATCGGCCCCATTTGCAAGCACACAAAAACTTCAGGAACAATCTTGAAGTGAAAATCACAGTTCACTTCCCACAGGCCTCTAGGATTCAGGACTCCTCCCTTGGCTGGGGAGCCCATTGCCAAGGAGGACCTGATAACATTCCAAGAAGAAAGCATGAACACAAACTCAGGATCTGGGTCAGGGGAAGCTGACCACAACTGCTCACGGGGCAGCTTTAACAAGCTCTGTCACCACAGCAAAGCCAGACGTGTGTTAACAGCCAGGGCCCTTTGCTTTTTATTCAGATATCAACGAGTGTGACACAGGTTCCCACTGCTGCCAGCAAGACTGTTACAACTACCCCGGGGGCTACGAGTGTGCGTGCCAGGCAGGGTACCGGCTGGGCACCGACGGCTGCGGCTGCGATGGTGAGCAGAGCATGAGCTGGGAGCAGGGGCTCACAGGGAGCAGGTTCCCCTCTCCCTGCTTCCTGCAGCTTCTCAGCTTGCTGATCATTGCAGCAACTCGGCTGCTCTAACCCGTGCTCTAGTGCAGCACAGCTGAGGAGCGGCACCCGGGCTGCTCAGCACTCTGCATTCCCACCGAGATACCCCAAAGGCTCCAGGTCTGAAATTTGTTTATGTCCAACTCTAGAGGCAAACATTACCCTTCACTTTCACACAAGACACACAGGCATACTGTGCCTGTATAAAATACAGCCAAGACAGTGACTAACACAAGCTTTCAGTATAGAGAACAAGAAATTGTCCTACCTGGTTGGAAGAGTTTCCAGTTCCTCCCAGCTCACCTCGTCCTGTCAGCTCTCTGACCAGTTGCCTTCTTAGCAGAAAGAATTCAGGGCTTTTTTTCTTCCTCATGAGTTGTCCTCACCACCCAAACTCTCCCACAATATTTCACAGGTGAAGAACCAAGCTTGCCCACCTGTTTCTCCACAGTTAGTGACAGATGGGTGCTGAAACTCAGCCCATGGTATTTGAACCCCTGGGCTCCCTGGGTCATCTCACTTGGTTTTTAGAGTCAGGTGGCTTCCTAGAACTGCCAGAGAGGGTGTCCCCAGCCTGCCTGCTGATCTGTGGGCAGAAATAGATCTGCTTCTTTTACCATGTGTTTCAGATGTGGATGAGTGCTCCTTCAATAAAGGTGGATGTGAACACACGTGCCAGAACCAGCTGGGGTCGTTCCAGTGCAGCTGTGAGATTGGGTACAGACTGGACGAGGACAGAAGGAGCTGCATCCGTAAGTACAAGGTCCCTGCAGGGCCAGTCCAGGCAGGAGCTCCTTAGTCCCACACACCACCTCCTTCACAGCACCTACTGCTGTTAGTGGTGGAAATTACTAACTCCACCCCTGGAAAGCTTTTCCCTATTTCAGCCACCTTGCACTTTCTGAAGGAGCACAGGGGTTTCCAGCACAGCTGCACTTGGCCTGCAGTGGTGGCTCCACATGAACCAAAGAACCAGAACCCTTTCCTCAGTCACCAGCCCCTTCAATTTTTCCTTTTAAGAACCAATGGGCTTATCTTCTTTGAGTGGAAGTGCCTTTCTCCCATGACCAAGCACACTATTACCCCACTTACTTGTAGAGCAGCCAACTCTGCACCTGGTGACCCCACTGCATTGCCCAGGGCCCTGAACAGCCTTTCCAAGGTCTGGTCCCTGAGGAGCAGCCCTTGGTGTCTCCTCACTCTGACAAAACACCTGAGCCCTGCCTGGCCTGGTTTTTATAGGGCTTGACCAGCCCCTGTCCTGGCTCCCAGAGGTGCAAGTGATTGAGCTGATTGCCTGGTTTAACCCTTGTCTGCCCAGCAAGGGAAGGAGACCTGTGGCTGTACCTGAGAGACACCCTTCCCAAAAGGAGAACCCAGGTTAATTCTGTTAGGTGGGCAGTCTTGTTGGAATTTCCAGGAAAGAACTAACTTATCTGGGAGCTCAAAGAATTACTAAGGGGGTGTTAGGGGAAGCTCAGCTACCTGAGGAGCCAGTGCTGTCTGTCTAGGCTAAGATCAAAGCTTCTCCCACAGATGTTGGACTCACTTCTGGCCTCTGCCCATTCTAGCCAAACCAAACAGGTAAGTTAGCAGTGTCAATATATGGTGAGATCAGTGGTGCAAACCATGCAAACCAGCTGCACCAGCCCTGCAGATCTTTACACTCACCCTTCCTCAATAGAGAGGTTCTGTCCTACTAGTTACCTCTTGGAGATCTTGTCTTGTTTCCCACTTTAACACTGTCACCTCCCTGGCTGCTCCCCTAGCCCTAGAGGACCCCGTGGAGCCCCTGGATGCTCGGCACCCCGTTATCCGCCCCATCCCTCACGTTGCAATCCTGCGGGATGAGCTTACCCAGCTCTTCAACGACGACTATGAGGAAGAGGAGGAAGGGATGGAAGCAAGAGGAGAGCACACACTTTCAGAAAAGTTCGGTGGGCATTTTGCAGCAGTGGTAAATGGCAAACTTTGCTTGGAAGTCTATGGAATTAATCTCGTGTGCTGGGTTTATTTGTGTTTGGTGAGCTTACCCACAGGAATCATAGAATCTTTCTTTCACAGAATCACTGAATTGTTCTGGTTGGAAAAGACCTTTAAGATCGTTGAGTTCAACCATTAACCCAACTCTGCAGAGTCCAGTGCTAAACCATGTCCCTGAGCACCACATCTACAAGTCTTTTAAACACCTCCTTGGGCAGCCTGTTCCAGTGTTTAATTACCCTTCCAGGATTGGAAAAGACTTTTGATACTATCAAGTCTAACCATTAACCTAGTGCTGCCAAGTCCACCACTAAACCATGTCCCCAGGCACCACAACCATACTAGATACCTCCACTTGTCAAGTGCTTTCCTATGCACACAGGAGCTGTGTTACAGCACAGACGCATGTCACTGCTGGTTTCTCTGCCCACACCCCCCTTGGAAAGCCTTTTCACCCGCAGCTCCTCTCGTTGCAGTCTGCCTGGAACACACCTTTGGGCCTGACTGCAGCCTGACCTGCCAGGACTGCCAGAACGGGGCCACCTGCAACTCGGAGGGGACGGGCTGTGCCTGCCCGGCCGGCTGGACCGGCCTCCTGTGCGACCAGCGTGAGTGATGCCCCACGGAGCATCCTTCCCACCCTGTCCTGCTGCAGCAGCCTAATCCCTGCCTCTCTCCTCTCTCCCCTCCCAGCCTGCCCGGCCGGCACCTTCGGCAGGAATTGCAGCCAGAGCTGCCGCTGCCAGAACGGAGGCACCTGCGACGCGGCCACCGGCTCCTGCCGCTGCCCGCCCGGGGTGGCCGGGGAGCTCTGCCAGGACGGTAAGGAGGGGGTGCCCTGGGGGCCCTGGTACCAGGGCCTGCCTCACAGCTTGCTTTTCTCCCTAAAACCTTCTCCTGGAAGGAACAGCAATGCTCCTGAGTGGCACGGGCTGTTCCCCAGCCCATCGCTGCTCCTCTCCACAAGCCATCATTTGATAAGTGTTACAGCCAGCTCTAGTGCCCCTCTCTGATCTTCCAGTTGTGCTTCTCTGAAGCCGTGAAACGTTACCCTTAGTTCACTGAAAGCATCTCTCAGCTCTTTCTTTGAACCATCCCAGTGTGAGTAGCTCTGACACATCCCTGCTCCATCTGTCTCTGTGGAGGCACAAGGAAAGTTCTCATTTTAACAAAGAAAAGGTGGTAAAGGGGATTCTTCACCCACAAAACAGTGCTCCAGGTAGTACATCTTCCCTTAGCACTGGAAGACCTTTGCTACTCAGCCATCTATATTTCTCTGAACATTCAGTGGAGGACACAGAAAAGAATGTAAAAAATGAATGTTCAGTTTACAGAACCATGGAGGTGTTTTCTGCTGAAGACAAACCAAAGCCCTGGAAAGCTGTGACACCAGTAGCTACTCCAAGTGCCCAAAGGAGGTGTCACTGCTGTTGGTATTTGTTTCTCGCTCCCAAAGAGTTAAGATCTGGGGGGGGGCATAATCCAAAAGCACAGCAAGAGTCAGACAGTAAGAGATTCAGACAAAAAGGCTTCAGACAAAAGGTTGGGAGCATCTGGGAACTATTAGTGATGGAGGAGACCGAGGCAGAATGTAAATGAATGCAAGAGATACCCCAACATTTTCTTTCTGTAGGAAGGAGGTGATTGAGGGGTACAGAGAAAAAACAGGAAGGTAAGATTAAAATAAACAATGAAGAACTGTTGTCCCATGGTGGCATTTCCTCTGCTGAAACCCTCTGCTGTTCTCATCCTACGGGAGGCACGTGCTGCCTGGACAGATGCTGGCTGGTGCTTTCTGCTGACACAGCCTGTCTGCCATGTGCTTCTAATATTAAGGTCTTTAGCATAACAGAGAAAGAACAATAATTTTATTCCCTTAATAGTGCAAATATGGCTGTTACTTATCAATGGCCTCATGGATTACTTTCTCCTGTATGAAAAGACTGGGTTCCCAGAGCCCTAGGGGCAGGTTTTGGGCACAACCAGCAGTGTGATTCCAAGTGGGGGCCAGAGATGGTGGGTGTCCTAGAGGCACCTTCTGGGGCTGAGGGGTGGCAGAGCTGGTGGGTGCCCTGTGCAGGGCCAGGAGGGGCTGCCGAGGCGAGTGGGTGCTGAGCTCATGCAGGGAACTTCATCACCTTATTGCACAGAGACACAAGCACGTTCCTGGCCAGAAAACAAGCCAGCCTCCTTCTCAGCATTCACTGCACCCCTTGCCCAGGCTCACTGCTGGTGCAGCTTTGGGTTTGGTTTGGCTTTCCTGGGGTCTGCTGGAAATAAAACAACAGGCTGAAATCGGCTCATCTTCCCAGAAAACCTCTCCTTTTCTAGGGTGCCCTAAAGGATTTTTTGGGAAGCAGTGCAGGAAAAAGTGCAACTGTGCCAACCGAGGTCATTGCCATCGGATCTACGGAGCCTGCCTGTGCGACCCGGGCTTGTACGGACGGTTCTGCCACCTGGGTATGTTTGTCCTGCCCCTGTCACGGGATACGGAGACACTGCCCTGGGAAGAGGGCCAGCCCTGGGTGGCAAGGTGTCACTGAGTGCTCTTTCCCCCCGGCCCAGCTTGCCCCAGGTGGGCGTTCGGGGCGGGCTGCTCGCAGGAGTGCAGCTGCCTGCAGCACCACAGCCAGGACTGCGACCGCCGCGATGGCTCCTGCCTCTGCAAGCCCGGCTACCGCGGCAAGCGCTGCGAGCACCGTGAGCTCAGCATCCCTTTCCTCCTCCCCTCTTTCCCCTGAGCTTCATTTTCCCTGGGGAAGAGCTCCCAAGAGTGACTCTGGTCACACGGGTGAGGGGCTGCTGGCTCTGCTGAGTCACTCGAGTAACACCAAATGTTCTTTCTCTTTCCTCACGACTGTTACCAGGCTGTGACCCTGGCTACTATGGGGATGGCTGCAAGAAGAAGTGTAGCTGCTCTCCTGACGTGCCTTGTGACCATGTCACTGGGGAGTGCTGGAAGGAGTGTCCCCAGGGCTACCACGGGGAGAACTGCGACCAAGGTAAGGCAGGGGCCCTGCCAGGCAGCTCTAAGCCTGCTCTAAACTGACCATTCCTCACACACACAAAATTTTCTTCACAAACCACCATGAAAGGCCTCTCAGGAGTCCTCCCAGGACCCCCCTGCCCACTGCAATTGATGGGAGTGAAAAGCTGAAGTAGGTTTAGGGGACACAAGAGCTGCTGCTTGCAGGTGGTTGTCAAATGCTGCCATCTCTTTTAAAGCAGGGAAGCAGGAATCCTGCTGCAGAGTGACTCTTACTCAGAAAAGGAGAACAAAGTCTCACTTTATCCTGCCACTTGGGCATCTTGCTTTTGTAGATGAAGGTGATAGATATCTAGTTATCTTGACTCTCTTTGATGTCTCTCTACTTCCAGGCAATCAGTGCTCAGCAGAACTGTAGCATCTTTTCTGCTCTATTCTCTACTCCATGTTAAAGATCTGTTTGATCTGCAAGTGGAAAAGAAAATGTTATATTTCATTTATAAAATGAACATTGAATTTACATTAGGTTTTAAACTTCTGCCTCTGTATTAACCTTCTAGAGCAGTTCTCTGTTCTTCACATAGAGGGCCAGTTGTCAGCAAGGTAACTGCTGCCCAGCTTTGTGTGCAGTGCAGGCCCTGAGGGCACAGCTTCTCTAGGCCCTGGGTGACAGTTGGGGTGTCAGGGAGCTTGACTTTCTTTGAACAAAGGTGTTTAGAGTGAACTTACAGGCAGTGAGTCACTGGCACGAGGTGGTGATTACAAAACATGAAGACAGTTCTTGGAAAATAATAACTTCTGCTGGGCTCAGAGCTGATCAATGACTGAAGAGTTAACCTCCCTCTTTTATGGGGGCTTTTGGGGCTGAGCCCCCCTCTTTTGGGGCTGTTCCCTTCTGAATCACACTTCAGCCAACTGGATCCAACAGAAAATACAGAAGGTTGGGCTCCTGAAGTCCACCCCTGAAGACACACTGCAGAGAGAAGACATGCTGCAAAGAGGAGAGATGCTGCAGAGGGAAGAGAGGCTGCATGAAGAGGCTTGCAGTGGTCAGCATCTTCCTTTTGATGCAGACATCTTGGGAATTTCTACACTAACTGATGTCTCACCAAGCATTCCACTCACACCCAACCCAGAATTTAGAGCTATTAACCTAATTAAGCTGCTAGCACATGATTATCTTGCACAACACCATGACTGGGCCAACAGAGCTAGTCTGTCGGCCAGAGCAAAAGGTGCAGATGGTCACCAAAAAAAAAAGTTCCAATCTGAGCAAGTGCTACCGCAGCTAACCAGCCTTAGGAGGAGCTTTTCCAGGGGTTGTGTCCCCTCTCAGGGGTCCTGTCACCCCCAGCCCCCCCGCAGAGGAGCACTGCTGCCCGCAGAGCCACGCGGCGCCGGGGCCGGCCGGGCGCGTTCGGTTGGGATGTTTTTAAAGGGAATAAGAAAGGAGCTTAAGCCTGTAGGGGGGAGTCACAGGAAATAACACAAATATTTGTGTAGAAATAGTAGGCTCTTGGCTGTTGTTCGGATCTGGAAATTATTAAAGGGTGAAGACAAACATCTGCCATCAATTAGCAAAGAGGAGGAATAACAAAAACTCCACTGTGTCACTTGAAATCCGCGGGCTGGTGCGTTTCTGCTCCGTGCCTTGTGGGTGCTGCTGCATCCCATCTGCCCATCCCATCTGGGGACAAAAGGGACTGTGAGCACAGAGCTCTCAGGGGAGTCTCACATAGGATTTAAGGCTCAGGAGCCCTCTGTCTGCATGTAATCACCTGGCTGCTCGGTTGTGTCACAGGGTACAAAGAGCAACCAAGTTCTTGGGTATCAGAGCAGAGGGAAGGGAGAGCACTCGCTCCTCCTGTGCCTGGGGATGCTCCTTCTTTATCACTTTATATCCATGTACCTGCTGCAAACCTTGTTGCCTCCTAAAAGCCCAGCTTCCAGCATCAGGAGGAACTCAGGCCAGTAAAAAACCCTCACAGCATCTTCCAAAAGTCAAGGGGTGGTGTGAGGGCTGGGAACCCTCTGTCCTGCACCCCAGCACAGAGAAGGAAGGGAGGAGGACAAGCAACAGCAGGGAAGTGGTGCTTGGACAGACAAACCAAGAGAGAGGGGTGAAATGCTGTGGGTGACCTGGGATGGACAACCCAGCATGGCATTCCCCTGGAGTGTGGGAACCACTCCCAGCTGGGCTTTTCCTTAGGGACCCAGAGGCTCCTTTGATGTGCCAGGGTCTGGCTGGTATCTGGGAACGGCGCCTGTGGGGTGGGCAGCTTCCACGGGCTGGCTTTGGGGGGGACAATTTTCACAGGCTGTGTTGGGGGACAGATTCCAGACCCTGTTTTCTCTGCAGAGTGCCCGGAGGGGAGGTTTGGGGCAGGCTGCCAGCAGTCCTGCTCCTGCGGTGGAGCACCCTGCCCCCCGAGCAGCGGGCAGTGCCGCTGCCCAGCGGGCTGGACCGGCCACCTCTGCGGCCAAGGTGAGGAGCCCACAGCAGCCAGGGTGCTGAGGTAGGGGTTTAGGCCTAGAGCTGCTATTTTTCTTTTGCTAAAAGTAGCTTTAAAGACATCTAGTGCAATTAGAGTCATCTTCATGGAAAATTATGGGGGGGGGAGGGGGAAAGCATGTTTTGATGGTAAGTCTGAAACAATAGCCTCAGCTGGCTTGGTCCTGATCTGGAGCTGAGTGAAGCACAAGGAATTAAACAACATACCCAGTTAAAAAGATGAAGATATTTTGAGCTGTTGCAGTCCTTAGCACAGGACAGAGGTCTTTCTTTATTGACGTGCATTTTTAATTCCCTTCAACATATTACTCTTTAACTGCTGAAGAACTGGAGACTCCTAAATTTAAAACTTTTAGATGCTTACAGGGTGTTAGAGCAGCTGCAAGATATTAGTCATATGTAGATGTCCTGCTCCTGATAGTTTGACTGAGCAATAAACCCACACATGCACAGTGCTTACCATGTGTTTTGAACTGACTTCTTTCCAGGCCCTGGAGCTGCTCAGAAGCAGTTAAACTAGGATTTCTCCAGTTTTATCAGCTCTTAGCCTTTGGCTTCTCCTTTGCAACTAAAAGTAGGTCTGGGGATGCTGACTGACAGGCTGTTGGGCAGTGTGACAGCAGCTGCCAGGACCCTTTGCCAGCAGCACCATTTCCTAGCAAGGAGCTGTTGCAGCTCCTCACAAGTGACATGACACTTTCATTGACATGAAAGCACTAGAATAAGATCAGGAGAGCACTTATGGAGGGCTCACAAAGCAATGGGGTCCTTGCTAGCAGCCATGTATTGGCAAACAAAACCCACGTGTTGCATGGAGCAAGGCCAGGAAGGAGCCAGGGGACCCACGGCCACGCACCAGAAAATGGATGTTACTCCCTGACACCTGGGCTGTGATCCCCATGTGTGTGTGTCCTCTCTCTCTGTCCATGCTCCAGCTTGTCCTGATGGTCGCTGGGGCCTGGGCTGCCAGGAGATCTGTCCCCAGTGTGCCAACAATGCCAGCTGTGACCCTGCCACTGGAGCCTGCCTGTGTCCTGCTGGCTGCACTGGCCACCTCTGCCAGGATGGTGAGTGCTCTGCCACCAGGTCTGAAGGTCTCCAGTGGGAATGAGGGCTAGTTACTGACCTGGAGAACCTGCTCTAGTGAGCAGAGCATCATTTGTCCACCAGGCACCTCCACATTCAGGGTAGGGCTTAACACCCTGCACCCTCCCACGTGGGGGCTTGGGCTGGGCTCTTCCCTGCACACCCTGGTTTTATGGTGGTAACTTCTGCAGCAGCAGAAAGGGAGGTTGAGCCCCTCAGCCTGTCCAGCCCCTGGCTGAGCACCACATTGGTGGCTGTGGTGGCTCCACAGCCATTTGCAGAGGGTCATCTCTGCCCTGGCAGCGTGTCCGCCCGGCTGGTTTGGCCAAGACTGCCAGCAGAGCTGCAGCTGTGGGAACGAGGGGCATTGCCATCCTGTGACGGGGACATGCAGCTGCCCAGCTGGCTGGACTGGACACAACTGCCAGAGAGGTATGGGGCCCGCTCTGTGTTACTCCCAGGAGACACTGATCTGTGCCAAGCTGCTCTGTCATTTGCTTCCTTGTCATCTTCATGCTGTGCCTGTCACAGAAATCTCACTCCAAAATCCTTCACATTGCTCTGCCCTGCCAGTGCCTTTCTGTCCTGGGTTTGCTTGCAGAATGAATTCTCATCCATGCTCATGTCCCCGTTCTCACTGTCCCCCTGGGTTTTTGGAGGACCTACAGCTGTGTTTGTCCTTCTGCCCAAGCTGTGATTGATGGGATGGAGATCACAGCGCCGTGCCCAAGCTGCTGCTCCCCAGAGGAGCAGAGCAGGAGGGCAGGGTGCTGAGGGGCTGGGTGCTGAGGGGCTGGGGGCTGAGGGGCTGGGTGCTGAGGGGCAGGGTGCTGAGGGGCTGGGG